AATTTTCAGCTTTAAATTGTGACAATAAGCCGGCAGTTGGGCAAACGATGCTTCTGGCGACCCCCTCAACAATTTCAAGGCATAACATTTGGCTCTCCAAGCTTGAGAATATGAGATACTAATCTTGAACCGAGAATTCATGTCAGTCATAATTTCATGTCCTCGATATACCCTTCTATTCAAAAACATTAACTCAACCAGAAAACCACCCAACACCTTTTTGTTTGCCTGTCTATGGTGAGGAAAAACTTGGGTTCTTGAACATGTATGTTTATCAATAAAAGTCCTAACTTGAAACATTTCGCAATTTTTTATCCTCTTTGCAATCATACGCCACGTACAGTTTTTGTCAATCATACACTTTGTTTCGAAACGATATTTGCTTGATTTGTTAACTTTTAGTTGATAGCCATCTTCCACACATTTCGTATACAAAGCTATCTTCAAGTCTTCCTTTGTATCAAAACAATCATCTTTCTTGATACGAATAACTTTTGTGTAACAATCAACTGCTATCTTTACCAACTCTTCTTCCGGTATCTGAAGTAATTCTGGCATATTCCAGTTATACTCCCGTGGCATTTTCTTTTTTTTCTTTTCTTCGGGGACTTTTTCTTCTTCAGGGTTATATGAATTACATAATAGATGTTCAACATGTTCATTCACAGTCGTAACTTCCTCCTCATTATCATCAACAACATCTTCCTCGGCAACGGCTGTTTTATCATCAAAATTCGGGTATTGACCAATATCAAAATCATTACATGTAGGGACTGTTTCTTCTTCCATTACATCATCAAAATCCGAGTATTGACCAAGATTAAAGTTCGAGTATTGACCAAGATCAAATTTCAAATACTGACTAGTACTCACAATTTTTTCTGTTGGCTCATAATCGTCTAACTGGTCAATACGAAAACCGGAATTTGGTGCTGAAAGTTGATTGGGATTTGGATTAGGAAAAGGTTGTGGGTTTTGAGATTGTGTTTGATATTGTGTTTGGTATTGGAAATGTGGTGAAACAAAATTTTCTTGGTGATGAAATTGTGCTGGAACCATTAAATTTTGAGGTTGATAACAACGTTGTACATTGTGAGCACCATACACTGGGGTTGAAGAACTTAGTTGATTACTACCCGCTACTGACTCAACTTCACTACTTCTAGGTTCAACAACATACAATATAACATCATCTTCTTGTGAAACACTAATGTAAGCAATGAATTGTTCAACATCTTCATTGTCGGTTAACAAATAAACTTTACATTTTCTTTGATAAGATAACCTAAATCCACGTAGAGGCTCTAAATTCAATTTCTTTGCAACACGTAACATTAGACTTTCATAAGTTAATTTTTTTAATGACAGTTTTAGTTGAAGATTCATGGGTTAAAGCACATATTGTAAAACACCATGAACATTCTCCCATGACCCTCCAAAATACAAATCTATCCAAACATGATCAACATTAGATGATTTCATTCTACACATTGTAAATTAATTTACTAAACAAACGAGCTATAAACTAGATATCATCACTAACTTAGAAAAAAACATACCTTTATTAAGTTGATAGTTAATAATTTGGGAGAGAAATCATTGAAAAATTATATAGAAATAAAATTATGTAAAAAAAAATTAGGGATGGAGAAGGATGTCGTTGGATATAGGAACGGATGTCGCCGGAGTAAGTGATAGATGGAGATGGAATGAGTTACGATTTAGGGATTTAGGTTATGAGTTGCTGCTGCTGCGTTGTTATATACCCAAAACATTTGTGTTGCGAAATTAAAATCTGTTGCGAAATTAAATTCGTGTTGCGAATTCAAAAAATCTAGTTGCGAATTTGAAATTCAGTGTTGCGAATTTGACTTCTGTGTTGCGATTTACAAATTTGCGTTGCGATTTACAGATTCGCGTTGCGAATTTGACTATCGCGTTGCGAATTTGACTTTTGTGTTGCGATTTACAGATTCGCTTTTCGATTTACATATTCGCGTTGCGAAATTGGAAACTTGGTTGCGAAATTGGAGTTCGCGTTGCAAATTTGAGATTGCGTTGCGAATTTGTTGGTCATTTTGGCAAATCCAAAAAAAATTGGTTAAAATCGTATATTATAAGGCATTTTCGATCACTGAGGTTATTTTCTCTTCAAAATATTATAGAAAAAGTAACATTTTAGGTAATGAGATTATAGCTCTATTGGAAATGTTAAAACAATATTAATATTTTCGGTTATGTCTTTCCTTAACTTTATATTAGACTGCCGTACAGTAGAATTACTCATCTTTTAGAGGTAAGTTGTGTATTTAATCATTTAATTATTTATTTAATTATATTTTTAAATATTTAAACATTACATTTTTATTTTATTATAATAATATATCGTTAAAAAATAATAGAAATATTGACATAATATATTTTATATATTTCAATGGTAATATGATATTATCGTATGGTATGGTAGTGCGCCAATATCACTATTAATTTTTAAATTACGAGTGACCAAAATAAATCAAAATGTAACGTTAGTAGTGTTATTGAAAAAAATAGTTTAGTGACCAAATTGAAATTAAAGTGATAGATTGATGACTAAGTATGTAGTTTATCCAATATTTTTATAAAAGCAAAAGTGCAAATCTGTTCCGCTACATGAAGTCCACGTTGTGGACAAGTCATGGGCCACGTGTACAGCCACCTACGGCTCATCTCCGGCCTCACACAGACACTCCTCGCGCTTCCCCACTCCCCCCACGGACTCGGCACGCGGAGTAGTTGTTGCTTGGATGAATAATAAATACACTTTAAATGATTTAGTAACGTGTTTTATATAAATATGAATAATTTTTCAAAAGTTTAGAGCGATTGTTAGGTCTGTAAACGAATCAAATGTTTAGTTTTGTAAATCGTTTGGTGTGAAGTTTGTTTATGTTTGTTTATTTATTAACGAACATAAACAATATTTTGTATTAGTTTAATTAAATGAACGAACATGAACAAGCGACTCATTCTTTCATTTACATTTGTGAACGTTCGATAATATATTCATTTATGTTCTTTAGTTTATATTCGTTTATGTGCGTTCATTTATGTTTAGTTCAATCTCTCTAGACCCATCTAAAATATTAAAGTCCGATAAATTTTAATCTAATACCCATAAATATCTTAAAATTCAATTAATTTTAAATACAAAAAAAATCTCAAAACAATTAAGTAACATATAATCTTAACATTGTTAGGGAAAAAATTATTTTCATTTATGTTCGTTTATGTTCATTCATTTGTTTTCGTTTACGTTCGTTTACATTCGTTCGTTTATGTTCGTTCATTTGTGTCCGTTTATCATTTATGAACGAACATGAACGAACACGAACAAGCTACATTTCTTAACGAATGAACACGAACAAGAAATTTTTTGTTCGTTTATATTTGTGTTCGTTCATTTGTTCGGTTAAAGTTAAACAAACGAACATGAACATACTCTTGTTCGTGTTCATTCGATTCGTTTACATGCCTAGCGATTATAAGATAATATTTGTTTATAATTTTTTAATTATCAACTATATATATAACTTACAAGTAAATTATCCGAATAAATTTTAGGCTTATACAACAAACAAGTAACTAAAGTATATAATTTTTTTTATTTAAGTACTTATAGTATTTTCTGATCAAAATAAATACTTATTTTGGTCAAAATATGTATTTAAAATATTCAAAAAAAAATTATCCGAATACCTAATGTATTCTTTAATTATTGTCACATGTCAAATTTTTTAAAACTCAGACTAATTTTTTTTAATAGTTATGATATTTATTTCGACATAAAATAATTTAGATACTTATTTTAACTAAAAAAAATAAATTGAAGTACTTATTTTGATAAAACAATATTTTAAGTATTTAAATAAAAAATAAAATATATTTAGATATTTATTTAAATATTTATTTGTTACATAATCTTAATTTTTTAGGAAGATGAATGGATTTGTTCAATAGTTTTCAAGGTTTGTAAATAAAATACATAAAATTGTTAAAATATTAATAAAATTTCATTTTATTATAAAAAATTTATAATAAAAAACAATTGTGAATGTTATCCTTATAAAAAAGGTAGAGTATATAAATAGTCTCTAAACTTTTAGAGCATTTGTATTTTGATCATCCAATTTTTGAAACTTGTAATACAATCATCGAAATTTTAGTTGTTTTCACTAACATTCTTGTTGTTACCTTCCGTTACTTTTTGCTAAGTTCTTCTTCCTCCTCCTCCTCCGGCTTGTAAATGCATCGAATATCGACTTAGTCAAGAGTGATACAAATCAAGACTTGGCACCCCGAAGTCCCAACTAACAACAACGAAGAAGCAGAGGTAATCGAGAGAGATCCATATGTGTTTTGCATGTCCGAAGATCAGATTGCTGAAGCTAATAATGGCACAACAGCAGAACTGGAAGGAGATAAAGTTGAAATTGGATTACTTGAATTGTCAAAGATCTCCCTACACATTGCTTTCCTTGCCAAATGAAGAACAAAGAGAACTTGAAGCATTTTCAGAAGAAGAAACTATTGATGACAAGGTTCTTTGAAATGATGAACTAGAGGAGCAAATTCTAACTATATCTTCTACATTACCTTCTGCAGAAAGGGAGCATGGAACTGGAGCCATGAGTGAGGAGATAGAATATGTAAAAACAGAGGAAGAAGTAACCATAAATCTAGATGTTGTTTCGGGAGATGAAATAATTGGTAAGAAGACTCATGAGACTAATAAACCGGAGGAAATTACGAGTTTTCTATTGGTTTCCATGAAGAAGGAAGCAGATGTAAGCTCCGTACAAAGAAGATTTTAGAAAATCCTTTTGATGGAAGCCAAATTGGACTCTTGTACAAAGAAGAATTTCGACACAACTGATTTCACATGCATTATATAAACTTGACAAGCTTAGATAAGAATACCCATTACCATAATTAATATGAACAATATGTGTGTTGCATTAATGGTGTTGCATTAGGATGAACCTGTCATGAAACCCTGGTTTGCTGAGATGAAGAATGCTGTCGTCGTGCCACACATTGCTTCTGCTTCAAAGGTAATGTTTGCTAGGAGTCACATATCGGGCTGGACTTGCCCATCGGATTGTAAATTTCTTTTTCCTCGTGCTTATGCAGTGGACTCGTGAGGGAATGGCAACGTTAGCCGCTCTAAACGTCTTGGTAATAACTTGCTCCTCACTTTATTCAAGTTCAGATATGATTGTCGTTTCATTCGGAAAAAGAATCGAAGATATTAAAATCCGTTATTGTGCTTTTCATCTGCGATAGCCGCTGCTCTAAACATTGCCGCACTTCCTGTATCCGCATTACAGGGCAAGATCAAAGGATATCCAGTCTGGGGTAATCCGAACCAAGTCGAACCGTTCTTGAACGAGAACGCTCCACCTCCTGCAGCATGTCCAAGCATCGTCAATGCGAAAGCATTAGGTAATATCCATTTTCCAAACATTATCACTCCCCAAGCATTGCAGGTGTCAGGATGTACGAGTCTATGACTTCATATTCATCGATCGATCGTGTTTTCTGCCTCAGGCTCACCGGTTTCTAAGCTATGAGCACCAACTGTTGACCCCGGTGGCCCGGTCCCAGTCCGAGTAGTGTCTCCTATAAATATGACGTACCGGGTATACAAAGTCTAGTTCATGTTAATTTTCAACAAAAAAAAAAGGTTGGTTCATGTTAGAATGACAATTGCAATTACCATGTATGTGTTACTTGTAATTGATAGAATTAAATTAACATTAATCAATGTGCAATATTATAATAACTTTCTATTATATGAATTAAATAAGGGGAAAAAGAATTAGAACTAAAAAGATATTATAATAAAATATTTCTAATTAGATTAAATATATTTTTTATTATAAAATCAATTTAACTTTCTATTAAGCTCCAAGCCTGATGTTCATTCGTAATTATTCACTTGTTTTCCTAAAGGGTATTTTAGGAGTATCTTACTTCAAGTTAAACACTTTTAATAAAATCCGAAACCTAAATCCAAAACGACATCGTATGAGCACCATGAATCCTTCTATAAATACCCACTCTTTCAACCATGATTAAATCAGAATCCTACTTCGGCTGTCTTCTGTAATTCGTTTGCTTTCCGTCGGTTAGGGTTTCTATCACCGCCAGTGAAGGAATCTTTGGGAGAAATAATGGCGTCGACATCAAAGAAGATAATGTTGAGGAGCTCCGACGGCGAGGCCTTCGAGGTGGAGGAAGTGGTGGCGGTTGAGTCGCAGACGATCAAACACATGATCGAGGACGACTGCGCCGACAGCGAGATCCCTCTCCCGAACGTCACCAGCCAGATCTTGTCTAAGGTCATCGAGTACTGCAAGAAGCACGTCGATGCCGCCGCCAAGGAAAAGAACTCCGAGGATGAAATCAAGGCTTGGGATGCCGATTTTGTCAAAGTTGACCAAAATACCCTCTTTGACCTCATCTTGGTTAGTTTCCCCCTCTTTTGACGTTCTCTTGTTCTTTCTGATGTCCAAATAATGCATTCTAATATTTCTTCTATGCATTAAGTTCACATAAGTAGCTATTTGCATAAGTAGCTATTTGCATTCTAATATTTCTTCTATGCACCAGAAGATCCACGTTCCTATAACAATGGCTTGTTGATCTTGATTATTCATTGCTTATTTTTTCGGGTTTACTTTCGATCCGTGTCCTAAACCTTTTAATATTTTGCTATTGGGATTTGCAGGCTGCGAACTATCTGAATATCAAGGGGTTGTTGGACTTGACCTGCCAAACTGTGGCTGACATGATAAAGGGGAAGACACCGGAGGAGATTCGCAAGACCTTCAACATCAAGAACGATTTCACCCCTGAGGAAGAGGAGGAGGTTAGGAGGGAGAACCAGTGGGCGTTTGAATGATAGGGAAGGTTTTAAATTAGATGTTGATATTCAGTATTTTCTGATGCTTTTTTGGAGGTTTATCAGTAGGTTTTTCAAGTTGAGGAACATTGGCTGTGTTTGGGTTATTTTGTTATTATGCGTTAGTGTCTTCTACTTGCTAGAGGATTTGATATGAACCTCTCCACAATCTATTATCATTGTATAATTTGAATTTCATAATTTGCTCTTTACTTTTGTTGTGTTTGATTTTCTTCAGTGTTTTTATTGGGAAAATAAAATAGGGGTAAATGAATAGAATGTTTGATTAATTGTTTGTATAAGTACGTTTATTAGGTTATTAGGTTAAATAAATGAGTATTAACAAAACTTTTTGGTTTGTTTAATTTATGAACAAACTCATTTATATGTACATTTATAAGATCGTTTACTCGATCTTCGTCCCACTCATCTCGTTCCTCATTGTATTTATCCTTCAGCGAGCTTTCAACTTTCTTGAATTTCTCCTCCTTTTGCAGCAACTTTCGCTTGTATTTATCCTTAAATTTCCCTTTGGCTTGTACTGCTGCTTCCCCTTGAACCATCCTGCAATTCTCTCGTGCAGCAACTTTCTTCTTCTTCACCATCATTTTTATCTCTTGCAGGTTTACCATGAAAATCGAAAAACCGAGTGGGAAATCTTGGGCACTTACCCTTTGATTCAAAGTTGTTAGCTTAAAGTTGAGTTTGACCATGAAAACCACGAAATCATGCAACATGGTGTTGTTTATTGCCCAGAAAAGCATACTCAATAACAAGGCTCGATGGGGCCAAAAACAATTTCTTCTATGTGCGTATCTCTCTCCCAAAACTCTCTTGACTTACTCCTGGCTACGTTATAAGGAAAATCAATTAATTTCGACAAAATCACATCGAGGGTCGGTTTAACTTTACTTAAAAAAATTTATTAAGTAATGTTAAACTAAACACTTTCAGTTTCAGATAACAAATAATTAATTAGTGGTGTTAAACTTTATTGTGAAACTAAAAAAAGTTAATTTTATTTCTATGTGATTTTTAATTTTTTTCTTCAAAGTGTTATTTTAGACGACGATCTAATTTTTTTTCTTATTTTTTATATAGATCTGAATAAATATCATTCTCATTTTGTTTTTCCTTTTTACATATTCTTGAAGCGTTTATTTTTATCTACCTTTATGACATGATTGTTCATTTACTCCTATGATACAATTTTGATTATTGTTATGATAGTTTGACATTTCATGTTATAGTCATCACGACGCAACTCAAACATATAGCCCACCAAACATACCCTCCTATGAGCCACAGTGTCTACACGAATGGGGAACTGGGGATGTTGACAAACATAGTTATCAGTTCAGCATTTCATCAAGTCTTAATCAGATACCTCTATAGCACCTCAAAATGTAAAGTCACAAGGCCGAGATGAAGATCTATGAAATACAGCCCATACATACAGAAAATTGAAAGACAAGCAAGCGAGTGAGAAATAAAAGGTTAATAATCGATCTTCGATCACTCAAAAGATGAATATCAGATACATTTGCAGGCAGGTTTAACCTAAAACAGCACCGGGGACAGTAATCCAGTCAAACCATAACGATAGACTGAATATCCTTGAAAATACATGCCATATATATATTCATGGATTTGTGAAGACAAGCAAGTCGGCTTATCGCTTGCTCAACTGGAAGAAAAGCATAGCAACGAATAATACATCTTAATCAGGCAATGCAGTTCCTCGTTCAAGATTATTTTTGATTTCCAGTGTGTATTTTCCGAACGCTCGTTCAATCTTCTTGTTGAAATGCTCATTACGATCATGGATTGAATCAATATCCTTCTCTTCATGAAACTTCCTCCTCCGGCTAAATGAGTTGCGCTTATCATCCCGGTCCTTCCGTTCCTTCGCCATCTTGTCAATCTTGTCTTCGGAAAGCTTAGGTGCCTATTCACCAAAAGCAATACGTAGTACATAGAAAAACATGGGCCAGACAATACTAAATAAACAAGCAACATTTTCCTCTACTTTTTACGATCATACCTTCCCATATTGGAGGCTTGAAGCTTCACGATAGAACTCTGGATCTGCTTCTTTCATTTTGTTATATTCTTCCAGGTCAATATCAATGTTCTTTGTCAGCTTTTTGTATGCATTGTACAAGGTCTTCTGATTGAAACTGTCAAGTCCCTCGTGAAAGAAAAACATAGATTCAGCTCTTTGACATGGTAAGATTCTCTATTCTATAGAAGGGATAAGAGCGTTTCTTTTGCCACATTTATGCAACTTTGAAATTAGATCAAGGTTGGAGTTAAAAAAATGGAGGCGAATGCATTGGACAAGTTTTATTGGCCTACGATATTACAAGATGGATATGCATGCATAAGCAGGTGTATGACATAAAACTTGGAACAACAAAATATATTATTGCAAACCAAGAAACACAATAATGAAGGAACCAGGTTAATGGAAGATAAAAGTAAACACGATTAGTACAGGCAGAGTTGGGTGATGGGATTGGGTCCAAATGAATAGTGGTTTCTTTAACATCAACCCCAAACCTCATTCCCCTAAGGCAATGCCCACTCACATTGCACACAAACCAATACTTCTTTGATTCATTCAGCTCCACCTTATCTTCTCCACTCTCATACTTGCCTAAAACTCCACTGCTCGTCTCACATGTTCGATATGCAGACTCCGTCACTTCATACGCATTGTGCTGCCCTCTACTATATCTAAACTCTACAAACAAATGAAATAATTTGAACCGGTATCTAAAATAGAATCACTAATTCAAATCATTATGTATAATAGGGGACTAAATTAATCCATCTCATAATTGATGAATAGACTGAGGATGAACGCATAATTTTATGTTAAGGTGACTACGGACAGAGACAATAATATGAACAGTGTCTATAAAAGAAAATTTTATATTATAAACTATATACAATAAAAAAAAGGTTTATATAATAAATAAGTACCTAAAATATATCACTTTTTTTATTCAAGCATCTAAAGTATTTTTTTGGTTAAAATAAGTATCTAAATCTACTTTTTTGGACAAAATAGGTACCTAAATTTTCATCTAAGTTCTTAAAAAACTTGACAAGTGAGAATAATTAAAGAATATTTTAGGTAATTAGATATAAAAAAATGAATGTTTTAGGTATCTATTTGATCAAAAAATACTTTAGATACCTATTTTGATCAAAAATTAATTTTAGGTACTAATTTTAACAAGAAAATATTTAAAATACTTAAATGAAAAAGAAGGCATTCTTTAGGTACTAATTTATTATATAAGCCAATAAAAAAACACACAACTTTTAAAAAGACTTTGACACCTTTAAAGAGGTAATTGATGTTACATTTTGAAAAATATTTAATAATACAAATTTTAAAATTCAATTCTTTTATTAAAAATTTATTCATATAATTTTTACATTTGACATCTCAAAATAAAATTTTTAACTCTGTACGGTGATAACTTATAATATTTTAGAGAAGAACAAACGTAAAAAATTCATGTAATGAAAAATTATTAACTAAAAATATAAAAAAAACATTTAAAATATATAAAAGTTACCAAACTCATTTGTTAATTTCAGATCAAATTATGGTTTTGGTCACTTTATTGTATTCAAAATTAGGGTTTAATCGGTATACTTTATTTTCATATAATTTGCTCCTTTCGTTTTCATAGCATCGTTGTTACCATTAACTATTCCAGTTAAAAATACTTATCAATTAAAGAGGGATTCTTTAAAGAAAAATATCCACGTTGTTGTCGAGATAACCAACGGTGACCAAAATATGTAAAATTATAGTAGAGGAACAAACTTTCAAGTCTAAATATAATATAGTCACTAATACCATCATTTGACCGTATTCTAAGATCGACTCTTTATAAGCTGAATTTCGAATTTTATAAACGTAAGTAGCCGGGAAATCAGATCGGAAAGAGAGAGAGAGAGAGAGAGAAGGGGTTTATATCAAGAACGTCGCCGACGGTGAAATTGTATTTCTCCGACCAGGAAGCATAGTCAACCTCCGAATTCCATCCGTTTTCATCTCCAACGGTGTAAACTTCGGATACGACGCCGTTCAAGAATGAAAAACAGATCATACAAATGATAGCAGGGAAGCTACCATATCTCACAATCTCGCCTTCCATGGCTTTGGAAGCAACGAAAATGATGAAAAGTTCGATGTAACCCTTAGATTTTATCGTCAACTAGTTGGGCATGTCATCATCAATCGTTACCACTTAGGGTAAATTTTGGTTATAGTGACTCAACTTTAGCCATATTATTTCATCATTATATTTTAAAAATTTCAATTTCATCACTTAGCATTAGAAATTTACTCTTTTTGTCACCCGACCGTTAAGTCTTTTAATTTCTTTTATTTTTTTATTTTAGGTAAATTGATGCAAAACTCCCAAAACTTTCCTATAAAATTCAGATTTTTTGCCTTCTTTTCATTCACCGATATTGAAATATTTTCTTCTGAATTTGAATGACAGGGAGGACAAGAAGAAAAAAAAGTAATATATATCGGTTTCACATTGATTAGACGGTGGAGATTACATATCGAATTGATAAAATGTTGAAACATTGAATTAAACTTTTTTATTCCAAGAAAAATGGGAAAATGTGAAACGTTTTAGGACTAGTTACGTCGTAAATAACGATCAATTGAGAAGAATTCCGACCATGTTAAAATATTATGAGTACCAACGGTACTGAACCATCACACAACTAATGGATTAAGTGGTCAAAAAATAAATTATGAAGTTTAGTGACAAAAGCATAAATCTTTAAAGTTAAGTGACTAAAACATAAACATAGTACAAATTAAGTGAGTAAATTCATAGTTTACCGTATAACTGATAGACCAAATAGATGTTAAACAATGTTATCGGTCCAGTACTTTGGAAATTTTTAGATTTAGTCCCTACACTTGAAACTAAAAATTATTTCTTATCTTTACTATTTCAACATTCTAACCAACCATTAACATTGTAATGTTTCCCATCAAAATTTATAATTTGACATCGTGAACATAAGCAAGGATAGTGGGGGCCATGCCCCCCAAATTTTAAAAATCATAGTTTAGTCCTTTTAAATTTTCAAAAAAAAAATAATTTGGTACCTTCAAATTTTTTAAAAATTCAGATTAAACTTTAAATTTTTTAATGTTCTCAATTAAATCCTATCCCATAATTAAAAAAATCTTATTCAGTCTCTAAAAATTTCAAAATTTTTAGTTAGACTCTAATATTTTTGGAAAACTATAAACTAAACCCTTCAAAATTTTTGAAAATTTTAATTCAAACTTCTAATTTTTTTTAAAGTTTTAAGTTGGCTCCTCAATCTATATCACTAAGTTCCGCCACCGGTGGCATATGTTTGACAACATATCAAGTTGACAAATATTGATGAAAAACACTAATTAAATTAAAGACTGGACCGTGGATTTTTAAATCAAAAGAGTAAAAGAATTTATTAGGTTAAAATATGTTTCAAGTCCTTAAACACTTCATACATTTATAATTTAGCCATTCTACTCTTATTGTTTAAAAATATTCCAGTCTATTATTCAAATTTAAAAATTCAAGTTCAATTGTTAATGTTATTAAAATTCTTTTGTTAAATTTAGATCCTCAAAAAATTAACAGAAAAAATTTAACGAAGTTTAAGATTCTGCTTGACTTTTTAAATTAAAAAAGTTGAAAAGTACAAAGATTTAGAGCATATTTTAACTGATTTCACTTTTAAATATTTCGAATAAAAGGATTAAATCTCATGTTTATCAATATTATTAATCATCGTAGGTTATCACCCGTCATCGATAATCATTAGACCTCAAAATTTTCAATTCCTCAAAATAAATGTCTGGAGTCCATATTACAGGAAAATTGATCCAAATTCTACAGACCTAATCTAAGACCGTCCATAAAAGAGTAATCTAAAACCTTCATCTTTCTTTAAAAATAAACCATAATAATAAATTTATTATTAGTATTTTGAAAAATATAACAATGAAAATTTAATTCTATACATAATTATAATTTATACTTGTATTATAGTGATAATAATTAAATTTATACAAGTTTTGGATAATAACAAACCTGGGTTTGAAGTGAAGATAGGATCCATTTACCGTATCATCAATTGATGATGGATCGGCTTCAGCTTATCTCACAATTTAAAGAAAAGAACTCAAGATCTATCAAGGAATAAAAACTAAAAATCAAGTGCAACTCCAAAGCAATGTGCTCAATGGACATAGTAGCCATCGTGAAAAGAAAAGAAAAACAATTCTACTTAAAGCATTTACTCCATGAAACAATCATACGGTGGATAAATAGCCTTTTCGCGTCGTAACCCTTAGAACTCGTCATCGTCTTCCTCTGCAATGTGCTTCGCAAGCTCTTGCTCCTGTTGTTGTCTCTCTCTCCTCTTCTCTGCACTTTCTTTCTCCTTGTGTGAGTTTGGTGGGAACCTAAGCGCACGCACCGCCTCATTATGCATATTGAGGCAGAAAGCAATCCTAGAGTTGAATGCCGTTTGAGGCTCAATCGTGGAGTAGATGTCTCCCGTCTCCTTAGACAACATACATTGATTTGAATGATCCAATGTGGCATCGATAGCACCATCTCTGATTGCCTTAGCTACTATGCTCTCGGCATCAGCAACAGAGTCCAATCTAAGCTTCTTGGCAACATCAGCCAGTGAGATGCGAGAATATGAGATGCTTATGTTGCGTAACCCAGTCCGAATGACATTGTGCCGCAGCCTAACAATCAAGTTATTGGTCCGGTCTGAACTGAATGTACTTGAGAACTTCTCTGCAACAGATCTGAAAAGCTCCAAATCCCCAATGCGGACAGCCTGAAAATACGCACAAACATTTTGTGTTTTCAAAACTATTAGTAAAAATTCGGAACCACTGAAACCAAAGAGGCAATTCAAATGATTATAACTCTTTTTTTTTGTGCTAAACTTTAATTTAAATAACATGACACATGCACAAACATGATTCTCCCCTTTTTTCTTACTAGGAAAGAAATGCTCGAAATATCAGACTTGGTTCCCTACAAAGTAATTGCGACGAAATCTTAACTTACATTTGTCAATTCAAAGTAGGGCCTCAATGCCTTCTCCATGCCTTTCTGCATGAAAACAGTCCTCTCGGGGATTTCTCCTAGTAGTAATCGGACAATGATTGCCCATTTGTTGCATTGAACCCGGAAACCAAGGGCTGAGACAGGGGCTTTCCTAGCAGCCTGGAGGAGACACTCTTTGGCATCCGTGTACTCCAATTGGATTGTCCTAATCTTCCCCAAGTAAAATAAGTACCGGCAAAACTGCAGAAGGCAAACTTTGCCTTAGGATAAGAAAGGTAACGATAATGTTTTTATAGCTATAACCATATTCATAAGCCAAGCCAAACATACAGACAACCGTTAAATAACCATAAACATACAGTTCCGTTGCCTGAAATGAAGTGAGCAATATTCTGGGCTCATGGGATCTGATGTTCAAAGACTAAAAGATAGCAAAACTAGTGGCTTGCCTGTTGGTTTGAGTGAGCTTCAAATCTAGGCGCCTTTGATCTCAGTTTCTCAGCTTGGTCATACAAATTGTAATGGAGGTAATTGCGAAGTAGCAGGTTCAGAAGCGTTTCCTACATGACAGCAATATTTAAATATAAGACCCTAATACTGGAGATATAATTGCTCGGATAGTTGAAAATTTACCTGACCCAACTCATCATGGCGCAATGTTGCAATACGGTGCAAGGCTAGAAGGTTACTGTCAATTAAAGGTCATGCTAATTAGACCTAGAATATCAGACTGTTAATTCTGATCATGTAATGCTAGAAACATAACATTCTGAGAATATATACTTGAGCCAACATATAATAAAATCAAATTTTACTGTACATACCTCCTAACTTCAACAAGATTACCCGTGAGTTCATAGCAAAGAGAGTAGTAAAAGTACAGCCTAGCAGCTAGGACATCAAGAGTCCTCCTATTCAAATTCTTCAGCCGAGCAATGCTTGCAGAGGAGCATGACTTTGCCTGAAAAGAGATAACATTATGTACAACGGAGGAAACTTCCGGATGAAGTTATTAGCTAATGTACCTCATCGTATTTCTTTTGATCAATCAGAAATATCAGGACAAGCAAGTAGCAGTAGATTTCTAGCTCTGGCAGGGAATGCTTAGCAGGAGGTTGAGCCGCAGAGGTTGCAGTGTCGACTTCCATCTCATGCTCATCTTCCTGAAAGAAATTCAACAGTTAAGTTCTTAAAAGAACAACCAATACAAGACTTAATACATGACGATCATTTTGTTGTACTTGTACACACAAATATTTCTAAAGTGAAAACTTGGAACAAGAATACCTACTAAGCCGGTGAAGGTGACAACCCCGAAATCCATCATATGATACAACCACAAAAAATTAACTTCAATGATGCAACCATTTATTTTCTTTCTTTAGAATGTTTTCCAATGCTTTTCATTAAGACTTTAGTTCTAACCTAGCCAAGAACTTTACCACAGGCACCAAACATGACACGGGTTAAAAAAGAAGAAGCAATCCACCTGGATTGAATGCTGCAATCAGCCATCAAAAGATTACCTTAGGAAGATAAGAAGAAAGCCTACTAAGGGCCTCGGATCCAGGGCCAAGAGCGAAACTGAGAAATGAGGACAGCACAGACGCCTTCAGCTTCCTTCTTAAAGCCATAGTAAGTCTTATAGCCCGCAAAATACGTCGAGCTTCACGGTCATATGCACCGGTCTCTATCAGAGACGCAATTTCCTTCAAATCTAACAGAAACCCAGAAAATTTTATTCAAATCCGAGAAAATCCACAAGTTCCCAGTTCAGAAAACATTTGAAAAAAATAAATCAAAATTCCGTAACCAAGAGTCAAACATAGATTGATTGAACTTACGGTGCAGAGTTGAAGGAGAAGAGGAAGTAACAGAATTGGAAGGAGCTGGTTGCTCTTTCATCTCCACATCTTGAGTCATCTTTTAAGAATCTGAAACAATTGCAAAATGAAATGAAACATCAAAAATTAAGGGGGGAAAGAAGTGCAATTTCGATTATGGTGATGCTTAAAAATTAAAAGTAAAACAGAAAAAAATTAACCTTTGATTGGCGGAAGCAAGAGCTGTATTTGGGGGAACCGAGAGCCGAGCCGGTAGAGGAT